AAGGGACAGATGTGTGAGGAGTGGGGAGAGATTCCCTTTTTGGGGGCACCCCACTTAAGAGAAATGGAAGTAGGGGAGGAGGACACATCCTCATAGGTATCGCAGAAAAAGTACAAGCTTTGGAGATGCACAGGCCTAGGCTCAGACTTGGGCTCTGCCACATGGTGTGAGTGTGTGACTTTAACCTCCTTAAGTCTCACTTTTCTCATCCTGAAGATGCAGATGAGACAGACGTCACAGATTTGCTCTGTGGATGTAATGAGATCATTTTGGTAACGGGTACAGAAAAATGTCTGGCATGATATTCAATAAGCATGAGTTCTCTCCTGATAGAGCAATCTGGGGTTGACAAGTGAGACTTGGCAGTCCAGGAGTCCTGTGGGAACAAGCCTTCTCAGACAAACAGAGACAATCCTCAAGGCAATCTCCAGTCAGGAAGCTATGACTGGGGACTTTTCTTTAAAACAGTCTGGCTGGACAATCTGCAACTACAAACTCACCGGAGAGCATCCCCTGGCCAGGTGGGCCCTGGAGTGGTGGGGGAGATGGCCAGGTTGGCCACCTGCTGAGAGAGGTCATTGGCTTCCTCAGCCTCCTCATAGAGGGTCTTGGCATAGCGAACGAGGAAGGGCAGCAGTTGGCAGACCTCCTTGCGCAGGGATGAGGTCTCCTCGGCCAGCCAGGCACCCAGGATCCGCACCGAAGCAAACACAAAGGGCTCCTTCTGCTTCTCCGGCCCCACCTGTAGCCACAGGACCCCCTTGAGATGGAGCAGGATCCCTGCCTGGACAGCATGCCAGCCAGCTTTGCAGTAACAACTAGAAGGGAATTCTAGCCTGGGCCATCTAAGGCAGGCCCTCAATGCATGTCTGCCAACTGGACTATAGGTGTCATGCCCTTGTACTTGCTGGGACTCACCTAGTATTCCCCTTGTCCTGCCACCTCTAAAGTATTTCAGGGCTAGAAGGAAACGTGGAGGTCCAGAGCTAAGTAAACACTGCCTCTACAGAAGCTCTGAACCGGGCGGAGTTAGCTGAACTTCTACAGAGAGCAGGAACCAGGCAGCCTCGCTCCTTTTCCCTACAGGGTTTCAAGCTTGTATGTGCACGTGTGTAAAACAATGCTACGGACTGAGCGGAACAG